AGATTTTTCAGGCATGTGCTTGGCCAGGAGCCTTTAACAGAACATGAACATAAAACACAGGTTTTTTTAATATCATTAAGTCCCAAATCACTATTTATGACTTTTTTTTCCCCCCCTTTACCTTTCAGGATCTATGAGCAGCTTCCAGAGGTGAGGAAGAAGAGGGAGGAAGAGAAGAGGAGGCTGGAATACAACTCGTACCGTCTGAAAGCACAGCTCTACAAAACAGTGGGTGTTCTGCTCCGGGACATTCCAGGGTGTTCTTCCCAGAACTCACAAATAGAGAGGAATATTTGCTAAGTGGGAATTTGGAATTTTGAGGGGTTAGGCTGTACTGGGATTTAATCAGGGTCAGAGAAGCCAAGCTTAGGAAAACGTGGAATTCCCCTACGTAATATCAATTCCCCTACATAACCCAAAATCCTAAAATAAGCAGAGGAGCCTCATTTGTCCCCTTGGAGAAGGGAATCTCCAAAAATGACCATCCATGAGCTTCGTCTTCCTCTTAATAAGACCTGATCATGGAATCATGGAATGGTTTGGGTTGGAAGGGACCTTAAAAGATCATCCAGTGCCACCCCCTGCCCTGGGCAGGGACACCTTCCACCAGCCCAGGTCGCTCCAACCTGGCCTTGGACACTTCCAAGGGATGGAACAGCCACAGCTTCCCTGGGAATTCCATCCCAGCCCCTCACCACCCTCCCAGGGAACAATTTCTTCCCAGTATCCACCCTAAATTTGCCCTCTTTCAGTCTGAAGCCCTTCCCCCTTGTCCTGTCCCTCCATCCCTTGTCCAAAGTCTCTCTCCATCTTTCTTGTCGCTCCTTCAGGTCCTGGAAGGTCACAATCAGGTCACCTCAGAGCCTTTTCCAGGCTGAACAATCCCAATTCTCCCAGTGTTTCCTCCCAGCAGAGCTGTTCCATCCCTGTCATCTGGACCCCTCTGGGCTCACTCCAACAGCTCCATGTCCTCCCTGTGCTGGAGACCCAAAAGATGAGGAACCACAAACTCTTTGTAGGACAAACACTGAGCTTTAAACCTGACTTATTTCACTTTTAGCATTATGACTCTTTCCTGGCTGAGTTATTCCAGCCAGAGCCTGGGAAATTAGTTATTGCAGCCAGAGATGGAATAATAATTTTGTTGGGAACAGCAGTAATTGGATTTTAAAAGTCAGGGCTTGTAACTCAATGTATTATCCAGAACACCTTCCCAATGTGATTGTGGGGATTCTCCACCAGAAGCACTTGGATTTGATGCTGTATTTTTTACAGGGTATTTTCAGGACATATTTTTGTCAGCAGCCTGAAAATTCCAGGTGCTGGTACAGTAAAGTTTGAGGAGTTAATGAATGCTGGAAGTCATTGACTTGGAATTGCAGAGTCAGCTGGAAGCAGAGAGGGAATAGGATCAGAAGTTTTGGATATCAATGTGGTTTTGATTGGAAGATGCTGAGTCATGGCAGTAAATAATTGGAATATTGTACTTTTCCTTGCTGATGCAGAAGAACTGCCATGAGCAGCTGCAAATACAGGGAATGGTTTGTTTGGGATGTGGTTGATGTCTTGCTGAGAGCACCAATTGCATGCATGGATTGTTCATGAGATAAAGAACGACAGATTTTGTGGACTGACTCCAGAAATGAAACAGGGAATTAGAGAGAGAAAAGAGGTGGTACCAAAAATACACAAGGAATGTGTGTGATCTGGGATTTTGTGGGATTTAGGGATCCACTGTGCCCAAAGTATGGTCTGAGGGTCTCTCTGGGAATGTAGAACAGCAGGTCTGGGCTCTGGAGCAGAGCTGGCTC